TCTTTGAAGTGGCCTCCAGAGTATCTTTGTTCGCCGTGTTTTTCAAGAACTAAAACTCGGTTGCACTAATTAAATGGGTTCGTCCAATTTTAAGGTGCATGCGGATATTTTCCATCCCCTTGGCTGATATCTTTATTTTAAAAACATCCTGCCCTCATGCCTCTTTACCATAATATGATACCTTTTTCCAAAGCAAAAACGGTTCAGACATCACTGTCTAGGTTAGTTTGCGTTTCCCCATCAACAGATGAAAACAATAGACAATATAACTCGACCGCAGTGAGAGAGAGAGAAGAAGAGGAGAGTGTCTTTGGAGGAAGCATTGATGTATTTTTTTTAAAGTAATTCGTTAGACCAATAAATACCGACAATTAATTAACTCCACCCATAAAGGGCCTTGATCTTTTTACTATCTTAAAAGCTCTTGTTGTTGATGGCATTGAGTTGTAATGCTACAATTGAGCTTTATTAATTTTAAATTAAATACTTTTCATACTCTTCCGCACTGGCCAATAAAGGCAATTTAACCCTTTTTCTTTTGGGTGTTCTATTGTCTTTCGAAGTGGTCTGATCGTTAGCACCCTCCTCCTCAGCATCTGCATCTAAAAACTGGCCATTCTCATAGCCAATATCCTCATCGCTCGATACTAATCCGTCCTCTTCACTCAGACCATCAATATCGTCGCCATCATCATCTGAAAATGGTTCTTGGATGTCGACGTCACTGGTCTGAGAGCCATCCGATGGGACCAGGTCGATACCATCAAAATCGCTTTCTCCATCACTTCCGTCTGGAATGCTGAGGTTAGTTGTTACTCGTTTTGCTTTATTCACAAAGTACTTGTGATAAAAGACATCTGAGGCACAAACATCATGGCTCGAAAGAGACGAAAAATCGGATGTTGAAGGTATTGGCGCTTCTGATTTTGAGTGTTTTTTCGGGTTTTTGTATGCCCAGCGATCAAGAAATGAGCTTAGCGAATACGACTCGAATGGATTGCTTGTAGAATTCTTCAAGATCGTTTCGGGATTATCAAGTTCCTTTGCGGAAATTCCCTTGGTCGATGCTGAAACTCCCCTGGTCGATGCTAAAATTGCCTTGGCTAAAGTAGAAACCGATGGATGATAATGCAATAAAAACGGACAGATTTCGAAAAATGAGCAGACAAGCTTTTTTTTGGAAGCATCCAGTGTAACTCCACACCACGAGGGATCTCTTTTCAGTGGATCCCACGAATTATTATAATCCCCTGGAGGCAGAATTATATCCTTAATAATTGAGGGTCTTTTACGTGTGATCAGTAGAAAAACCTCGAGAATCGCTTGAAGAACAGCACACATGAAGGCAATAGAACCTGACAACGAAATGAATGCAAGCCATCTTTTCACAAAGGCAAGTATAATCGGCAAGGTTTCTGCAGAAAAGTCGCCTGACATTTTGTCCATTAGAAATGTCTTCACAATTGCAATATGCTGTTCTGCTTGATACCGACCATGTCCGGCAGACCGATCATCAACAAGGGATTCCCAAAGAGATTTCTGGAATCTCTCCTGTAACGAGGGGACTTCCTTTGAAATTTTATAGAGCAGCCAAAAGGCCTGAAGAGATTTTGACCAAGAACCTATGTGGGTAAGTCTAAAAAGAATGTCAATCGATGGAAGCTTGGCGTCCTTGCAAATCGAAAATGCATTGTGTACGCCCTTCAGTATAAAAGATAGCAACTTTTCTTTGTGCGAATCAACCTGATTTTCCTCTTTTTTTACATTCTTTTTCTTATCTTTAGAAGGGGCTTCTGGCCGATCAGATAATAACTCTTCAATGAGAGAGACATACATCGCAATCATTTTCCGGGCCAGATCCTGGAACCGTGAATCAAGAGGGATTTGCGTCAATAAAACAATCCCATAATACTGGGCATGTAATGAAGAGGTTGACGGCGTAGATGCTTTTGAAGAATTTGGAGAAGCAGATGAAGATAGCTTCGAGATAAGGACCTGTTGCCATAAGCCAGAGACCACCACTTCTGTCATTGCGGGGTGCATGTTAATAATTTTAAGGATCAACCTTCCAGAGGTGGAGGCTACTTTTTTCGAGGAATCCCCAAGTTTAGCAAATAACAGAGAAAGGAGAGCCGACTCCTGCTCCGGATGTGTCGAAAAAAGATTCGAAATTACGGGAAGAAGTCGAAGCCGCAGTTGCTCATAAGGAGACATCAATTGCTTTTCAAACAAACGTATCAAGTCTGCATAGGCTCTTTTGAGCGAATCCTCAACAGCCCAAACCCATAATTCTGGATCCGAGGGGATCTTTGGTCCTTGGCGTTGCTCCATGTATTTAAGTTTGTGAGTTGTCGGAATAATGTGGCTAGAAAATACCTGGGCCAACGAGACAATTGCGTCTCCAATAGATTCAGCCCTGTTTATTCCAGAAGAAATCCAAACCATCCACTCAGAAAGCTTGCTAATGAAAAAATGTGGAGCCTTCGCAACAAGCAGGCCATATGCAGCCAACCGATCGGAACGGGTACCCTCATTCAGCAGATTTAAATAAAAAGACAAATCATTAGGGGCATTTTCCAAGAAAATTGCCTCCTGCGTCTCAATCAACTGTTTCCCTTTGGTCCTTAATAGCTCCAATTGGCCTGGAGTAAACGAAACAGGTGTACTCGACAAAGATTGAGATAAAGACTCGCCCAAAAGGGGAGATAAAAGCTCAAACCATGGAAGCTCACTGCCATCGGTATCCTTCAAAAACAATAGTGGCTTTTTTGAGGATTTCGTGGGATTCTTGCCAACGGAGGAACCCTTATTTTTAGGAGCCATTAATAAAAAATTCACATTAGACGGGCAGTTAAATTTAAATTTTTCAAATGCCCGTAAATTCACCGAATGTCTCAAATAATTTATTATCCTCTGCATATCAACTGCTTCCGAAACATGGGTGGAAAAGCAGCTTGGCCGTAGCTTTTTCACAAAGTAACTTGAAACTTTCACCCAGTTGCCTTTCGGGGTTATATCCGCAGGGTCAAGATATTGCTCTTGTCAATCATGTTAGAAATCATCTCTGCAATGTCTATTCAATGCAAAGAATGAGGTCGCCCACTTTGAAAGAAATGAACTTAATAATGAACATTGATTATGTCGATCAGGGGATTAAAGATAAACTTGCCGTGCTTATTTCCGGAATTTACGCCAGAGCCGAATTTATTTCTAAGCACTCTTCTCTGTGGCCGGAAGCCCTTTCTATCCTCATGAAATCTTCCACAATAGATATACTGGTCAAAGATCCTCTTGATACGGCAGATGCTTTGCTATGCCAATGTGACCTGCAATTTTCGGATTTGGAATGGTATTCGTTTCGGGCCCTGCTTTCCAAAATCCTGTTGTCGACTGAGATCATGATATGTTCCTCTCCTGATATGCACGAACGGGATGTGGAAGATCTGAAAATTTACATCACCAATAGATTCAAAAGCTACTACCTGTCAAGGAATTCCCTCTCAAAGGTAGGATTTGTATTGTTGTTACCGTAGGTTACAAGTCATCTCGAAAAGTTTGCCAATGTTTGGCTTCAAAATTTGCTGGCAAACGTTAAATAAATTTATTTCTCTTAGAATGGGTGTTGATTATTTCTTTTAGGGACTTTCTAAATACGCGTAGTGATTCTAAGGAGCCCTCAGGCACCCCCAGCCTTTCCATTTCATCTAGATAGGATTTCATCTGTTTCAAAACCTTTTTTTCAGAAACACGTACAGGTTCAAAGATTTCTCCATTTGGATTCTATGTCTAATAAGGGTGTGTCGCTTACATTGGGCGATTGACTTTGCCGGGGGAGTACTTCAACGGTTCTGACCTCAAGTCGGCCTGATTTGTCCATTAAATAAAAACATTTTAAAATGACATACCAATCAAGTTTAAGTTTCACTTTATTGGTTACACCTCTAAACCCTAATGGGATATAAGAGCATTTTGGTTTCTGATGAATTGTAAATGAAGACCATCTATTTGATATGTCTCGTGGCGTTTATTGTCCTGTTTTTGAATATATCGGAAGTAGCCTCTGAAGCAAATGTTCCAAACAAAGACGAGCCCAAGAAAGATGCAAAGAAAGACGATGCAAAGAAGGGCGATATAAAAACAGACGATCTAAAGAAAAATATTACAGCGGCAATCGATCCCAATGAACAGAAAAAGCTTACTCTCGGAGGTTCCTCTTCATCCAACATGAATGGCGCCGTGTTTTTGTGCGGTACCTTGGTCTCGGTGGCTGTCGCTTTCTTGTAACAATATTGTCAATTTGAACGACGTTTTATGAATAAATAATTTTATTTTGGATGAGTCGAGTTCCCCAGAACCAACGATCTTTTTCCTATGTGGAGTATCCACAGCCCACTTGTTCTGAGCTGATAGACGCCTTTGGTGTTTTGATAAAAAGAGCCTCATATAACAAGCTTGCCTGTCAACAGGCGGAAGCCTTCCTAAACGAGCGCCAGTTCCATTGTATAATTATACACGAACTGCTGGTATGCCCTTTGTTTATTTACTCCAGGAAATTGTCAATAGCGACAAAGTCCAATTAGATGTCAGGCTATTGGCCTGCATTTATTTGAAAAACGGCTTTGAAAGACAATGGTCTCGGAAATATCCAAGGTCGCGGTTTTTAGGCTTAATTTAGATCGCTTGACGAGCAGAGTCGTGAATCGTTCAGGAAAGTCGTTTTTTTGCTTGTTTGGCATGAGGTTCCCCAAATCTCAAACATGGCATCCGTGATCGTGTCATCTATAGCTAAATATGACTACCCCGCCATGTGGCAAGAACTTATCCCATCCATTATTGACATCTTGTTTTTGTCCATGCAAAATGGTGATTTGTTCCAATTGTGTCGCGGCTGGAAATTGTTGCATCTTATTTTGAAGAGGCTATATATTCAGGGCCTTCCTTCAAAGAAATTGACATATATCTCGGTAAGCTTTGCCCCATAATATCTTTATAGACGTGTCAATATTTCCTGGCTAAGATTATTGAGCTCTCTTTGGCGATGGTCAATCTCTATCCTTCGAGTTTGCAAAAGTGTAATGGTCTTCTCGCTTCCAGCATCGAGCTCTCTCTTCGGTGTGTCCGTTTGACAATTCTGGGCGCATATCGAGATTATGGCTCTCCTCAAAACAAATGCTTTTCTGAGAGCAATTTACCATTGCTGCGTGGGCTTCTTTTTTCGCTTGGAAAATTTTCATTTTCTCACCGCACGACAGTTGACGGTATATTCCTCAAAGCCTAACCGTTAGATGGTGCACTTTATCCCATACTCAAGCAAATTTCAAAGATCTTTTGTATTTTCTTAAATACGAGCCAAACTCGCAATATCGAATTGCAGTCTTCTTTTTGCCCCTTTCCTTTTAAACTAGTGTGGGAAAGTGAGCTTTCGTCTTCCATTGGGGCTCTGTTTCTGGCTCTTGTTTTCCAGCTCGATTGTACCTGCTTGATTGAATTTTAATCCATAGCCACTCCAGCGATCAAAGCGATGGCGCTTACTTTGTTTTACTTGCTTTTCAAGTCGATTTCATGCCAAGTTAAAGGTAGCCGCTATGTTTGTAATCAAAAGATCCTCTTTGTATTCTTTTTTCGAACACATCCCAACACTCTGAGCTTTTGTGGCTTCTTTTAACAGAATATTATTCCTTTAGTCAAGAGTGCGACCTTGAAGCCTGTTTAAATGATCCTGAAGAAATGTTGGTCTTATTTAGACCAAAGAAAGGTTTGTATACCAGCAAGGAGAGTACCAAAGACGAAAAGCCTGATTTTCCTTTATCCGGCGTATTCAATGGACCCTCCAATTGTATTAATGTGTCAATTTCAAATCAACTAAGAAAATTCTCCAAGAAGCTTTACAAGGCTTTATCTTGTTTGCATCCTTCTTTTCCGGTGGATTGGGAAAATGACTCATTGGAGACAATTATCAAAAGACTGCTTATCTTTGATTTTCCGATAAAAGATGAGGGTGAGGTGTTGTCATTTAACAGCTTTCTATTGAAAAGATATTTTCCTGCCCTTCCCACCGATCCCTATTTCAGCTCGAGAGTTTTTTCATCCTTTTCATTATTGTCTATGACCTTCATGTCAGAATTGGCATGCAGTAAGACCATAGCCCCAATATTGTCAGAAGAAGCGCTCAAAAGTATCTATGCGTATTTATGCAGCATCCTTTGTAGCAGCTTTAATTTTGGTCAAAAGGTCAATTACCACCTCCCTATTCTCAGATATTTTTGCGCCGTCTCCATCGGATCGTTACTTTGTTTTTGCAGATCGACATTGCACGGTTTGGATGCCGTCATCTTGGGTATCTCAAACCTGTTGTTTGAATTTCAGGATTTAGATCTTCAATGCGACCTGCTGGACATCACTAAAGAACTTGTTTCTCTAACAGGTAATATTGATGTAAGTTTTCCATGTTAATCATATCAGCTGGAGAGCGGAAGCCTGGGCAACTCGCTGATTGACGTAATTTCGACTGGCTGGAAGTCGAAATCATGCAGTGTGGAGCTTCGTTGCCGGCTTTTGGGCCTCTTGAGCGCCATTGTAAAGGTACAAGATATCTTTATTTGATCTTTAGTCATTGGGAGCAAAATCTATTCAGCTCCATTCAGTTTCCATTTCACTGATTAAATCTTGTCTCGGAATCTCAGAGGCCCACCAAGGCAATGGTATACTGACATTTGATAATGGGGACGTGTACTACTACCTGGGAGATATTCTTTGCCTGTGGTCTTCTCTCCTTATTCATTACCCCTGTTTTGTAGAAAATCTCGAGTGCAATTATGAGCTTTTTGGGATGCTTTCAAGGCTTTCTCTTCGATTTCTAACGCTGGGATCTGAAAATCTAGTTCTCGTCTTTTCTATCGTTAACAGCTATATTTTAATGCTACCGATTTCCTATTTATCCGTACCATAGGCTTTAAATAATTTTGCTTAGGAGTTTTCGTCTTTGTTTTTTGCCGAGCTTTCCGATTTGATGCCAGGCTGGCAGCCAGAAATATGGCCTTTCATGTGCAAAGTCTTGGACTCTTGTCTCCTGAGAGCCTTTTCTTTTCTTAAAGCTATTGATTGGTTGAAGGGAATTTTCTTCGCAATTAGTAACCTTATTTTAATGGAGGAAGTAGAAGATTAGCTTTGATTTTGGTTTAGGACGAGAAACTAAGCTCGTATTCTTTATTTCTGTTCCCGGCAAGAATATGTGTATTAGATCACCACTTTTTTGATGTATTATTATCGACCAACCCATCACCAGAGTGTGCTGAAAAATTTGGGAACCTTTGGCTTAGAAAGGTGGTGCTTTTCAATTCTCATCTTAGGCTGAAGAAATGGAGAATGCCAAGGACAAATTTGTCTCGGCAATGGCTTTTATCTTGATTTTGTCTAATCCGGATTCGTGTCTTTACCATGTTTTTGTTTCGCAGCTGGAGTCCATGATTTGCCTCTTTGTTAGCTTAATGCTTGATTATGAACTTATTTCGCTGTCCTCGGAGCCTGCAATCGATGATCTTGAAAGATCCAAAGTCAGGTAATCAATAATCGCATTACAAATCAGATCCATTTTAATATCGGAAGACTATGAGTTTTGTAAACTCCACCGAGCCAACACCTTTGCGAAAGGTGACTTGAATGCAGAAGAAATTAGGCTTCTTCAGGTAATTTGGGGCCCACCAATCTTGTAGCTTTTTTCCTCAGATCCGCTGATGGATTTTTCATTGCCCTCTGCTGTGAAGCGGCTCATAGGCCGTTTGGGAACATATCCGGAACTAGAAGGGATTTTGAATGGCCTCCATCCCATTAATCTGCGCTATTTACAAAGCATTTTGAACAATCCATATCTATAAATAATATTTACCGCACATCATTGCAATAAACGTCGAGCCGCGCGTCGTCAACCGTTAATTGTGTTAATGTTTGCGCTTAAAAGGAAATCGACAACATCTTTTAGCGAGCTTTATTTTTTCTAAAGAGATGGACAAATAACAAGGGTTTTCGTCGCTGTATCGTAGAATCTCACTACGCCCTCTGGAACTGGTCCAGTGACTGTGGTGGCTTTTGCCTTTGAGCTTTTCTCGGTGGACGAAGACTCTGCAGGCCGCTGCTTTTTTGTCAATAGCTTGCTTAGTGCTGTTTTTCTTGCTTCTTCCATTTTTCGCTCCTTGGCTACTTTCCTTTGAACGGCCTTTTTATGCTTGTCCTCCTCAGATACAAAATCGTCTCTCATTGCTTTGTGTGCTTTTTTGGCGTCCAACTCGGGACTTTCTTCCACGAAAAACCGCCGCTTTTGACGCGGGATGAACTTTACAAACTTATCCCCATCGCTGTCTTTTCCGTTTGAATCTTCATCTTCACTATCTGGAAAGTCAGGACTGCTATCATCTTCGTCGGAATTTCGAGTCTTTAACGGGCTATTTCCGCCGCTCTCTAATTGATCGACCTCGCTGGGATCGAGCAGCGAGGCATCATCCTCGTCCAGCTCCCCACTTGAATAGTTGCCTTCTATATCATCTTCGCTTGATACGGGAGCATCTGTCGACGTGTCATTCAAGCGTCTGGTTGATCCGGTGAAAGATCTCAGCCTCATGGGGTATACACTTTGCTGCTTTGTTTATTAATTTAATTTTCTATTTGAACTGTTCAGGAGAGGTTTGAAAAACTGGTTAATTTTAAGCTTCATTGACCTCTGGGGGGCGACTTGGTTATGTAAATTTCCGCTGTTTTCCTTGGTATCATTTGAAGGGGGCCGATTTGGTGCGGAGCTGGCCGAAATCGGCTCCTTCCTGTGCGAAAAATATCTTTTCTCCGAAAAATACAGCATATGATGTATCCCGCGATCGATATTCCAAATACGTACAGACTTGTCATCCGAGGCAGACGCAAACTATCATTGGGTAGGGATTATTGCTTTGAGTCTTACAATCGATGGGTTGGTCTTTGACCAGGCCACAGCCGAAACCTCTGAATTATGACTGGAGTAAATATGGCATAGCTTATTTGCCTGGTCCCAAATATGCACGCCCGATGCGCTAGATCCTGTCAAAACGTACTTATCATCGGGGGAAACGTCACAGTTTACATAGAATGATGAACAAGAAAACGAATTGCACGAGAAAAAGTCGACATTTCGAGATCCATTGGTCTCCAGGCGACATAATCTACCGATATTAAAGCACCGAAAATCGAACCTGTTGTCTGTACACGTGCCATATAAATAAATGCCGTCTCCGGAAAGCGACATCGAGGAAAAGGCTAAAAATTCGACAAACACGCTTACCTCTGTTTTTTTCGTCAGGAAGAAACAGCAATATTCCGGTTTTGGATTTCCTAACATCATACAAATAAACGTGTCTAAAAGCATGATGACAACCAAAAGTTACCCTGTGGACGAGTAGGAAACATAAAGGAGATTTTCATTGAGCGGGCAAAAATTGATCGAAGTAACCGACTCAGACGGCATTACGGAAAGTATTTTTCTTGAAGATTGCTTTGAAGAGGGTCTAGAAACGGTCCAAAGAGGAAGACAGTGCTCTGCGGCGCGAGAATCCCATATGCACACTTGTCCATCTCGCCCTCCAGTGGCAACTTGGACTACCAAGTTACACATGCAGCCACCTTACATTGTTTATGAGGAGACACCTTGACAATCTTGACGCTAGTATTGGAATGCAACCTTTGGCCATGGTACAAGTTTTGCCCCGTTTTGACATCTGTTTGTCTCAGTGACTGGTCCCCAGAGACGGTCCACTAAACGTTACGTTGCCAGATGCATACGATCGATTGGTCATTGTTTGACCAGCAAAGGTCGAAAATGGCGTTGGAATGGACTTTATAGCTATGAGACTCTATTAATGCAAAGGTGTTATGCCGCCGAAATCATTACCTACTATCGAGTCCTCGGACCAATTCAGAATGCTAATGGCACCGGCCTCTGAAGAGACACAGATTGTATTTCCATTATTGCTTGCTAACAGATCAAAAGCCAGGTCATACTATTGCAGAATGAAATTGCCGTGGGAATGGAATACTGCTGCTCGTGTGTTTCGGAGGCGTCAAAGTATGCTTGTTGGGGATCCCTCGAGTCATCTTTTAACTGGAACGTGTACCCAGGCGACGTATATACATAGTTGAATAGCGAAGAAAATATACAGGGCTCAAAGGCTATACATCAATCGAGAATGCTTACCGAAATCGAGATATTGCCTCGACAATGCGAGCCCATTGGTATACATTGCAGCAGCAAATTCAGGAATAAATTTTGGAATAAATTGCAAAAATTTATCAAATTTATTTAATGCTTAATTTATTTGAGAATAAGCCGAGGACAATGTAGCTTTAATTATTTTCTAACTGGATCAAAAAAGGGGTGCTTCATCGCATCAATTGTAGTTAGGCGCTCTTGATGGTCATATCTTAGCAGGTTGTCAATCAAGTGAAGGGCCTCCTGCGAAGCAAGATGTTCGTTTTCGGGGAGTATAAATTTTGCCCAGTTTTTCTTTGTGTGGACGCCAAGTTGTTGCCTCAACTTGGAATCGATTTCCAAGTGATATTTTTCAACATAACAGTCAAAGTCATCGCTCCCCAGAACCCGAACAATCTTAACCAGTTGGTCACTATTATCCTGTCCCATGAAAAAGGGCTCCTTCTTGAAAACCATTCCGGCTAACATGCATCCAAGGGACCACATATCGAGGGAGTAATCATAGCATTGGAAATTGACCAGTAATTCGGGACCCTTAAAGAAGCGAGAAGCTACCCTGACATTGTACATAACCCCCGGATGGTAGAACTCGGCCAGACCCCAGTCGATAAGTCTAAGTTTTCTATTTTCATGGTCAATCATAACATTGTGGGGCTTCACATCTCGATGCATGATCCCCATGGAGTGGCAATAGTCCAGGGCCTTCAACAGCTCGAAAAGATAATATCTGACATCAAGGTCCGTTAGTTTGGGATAGAGATGCTTGAAATCTGAATTACGGACATACTCAAAAATGAGAGAAGGAACCTTGGACTCGTTGTCTCTAACGATATCCAGTAGCTGGATCACATTAGGGCCGGAAGAGATATTTTGCAAAATTTTGATTTCACGTTTGATCTTTTTCGATTTAACCGGCTTTAAAACCTTAATGATTACCTCTTGATTTGTTTTGATGTTGAACCCCAGGAAAACTTCGGAATACTTCCCCCTACCCACTTTTGATATTATGCGATAGTTATCTTGGCATCTAGACATATTAGCATTACCAAGACATACCCCCATTTTATCGGCACATTATCATAGTTCCAATAGTCGGACGATCGTGAGTCGTTTACCCAGGCATATATTCTGGAAATGCTGGGTGGATTTTCACACAAGGGTCCAGGCAGCATCGAGATAAGGTCTTGCTTTTCAATGCCAACTGGCGGCGAGACAGGATCCGGAATATGATTCAGAGACCCCATGTGCATTCCAAAAAGGGGAACTTGCACTCAAACTTTTATTTTTTAATTTTAAATAAAATTCAAATTTAATCGCTGAGCAATCACAAAGTTTAACACTCGACAATTTGGGCTTTATTTATTCCATGAAGACCGTATATGTGATCATCTATTCGGCCTATGGCCATGTCGAAAAGATGGCGCAAAGCATCATAAAGGGATTGGAAAAATCCAGCGTCAAGGTAAAGCTTTTTCAGGTTCAAGAAACACTTTCCCAGGAAGTGCTGGGAAAGATGAACGTAAAAGCGATGCCCCATATACCTGTGGTGACCGCAAATGATCTCCACGCAGCGGATGGATTTATGTTTGGATTTCCGACCAGATTTGGGATGGTTCCAGCACAGTTTAAAGCCCTTCTTGACAGCTGTGGAAAGCTGTGGCTAAATGGCGGGCTTTCGCAAAAGTTTGTCGGAACATTCGTGTCCACTGGGTCTTTGGGATTTGGGCAAGAAGGGACCCACTTGTCGTTGATGCCGTTTTTTGCGCACTTGGGAATGATATATGTCCCGTTGGGCTCAAAATGTCCCCTATTGCTTGACCTTTCTGCTGCACATGGCGGATCGCCCTACGGTGCAGGAACGCTTGCAAGCTCGAATGGGTCTAGAACGCCATCAGAACTAGAATTGTCGATTGCAGAATTTCAGGGCCAAGAATTCGGTACCCTGCTTAATAGAATGCAATAAAATAGAATTAATTGCGAATTAGTTGCGAATTAAAATATAAATCCAGCATAGTGCAAATCGCAACCAATTGTTTTTGTTTATTTGGTCTGTAGCAAGTCTGCTTGTTTCTTCACATTATGGTGGACTGGGCAATGTCCGGACAGCCATCTGGAGACATTAAGCTGTCGTATTTGAACTGCTCTAAGCAACAAAGATATTTGTATTGGTCTACAAATTCTCCGTTCTCCATTCCTAGCTTGGCAGTGATCTATTGGGTTCTTTTTATTGCATACAATATCTTTTTATTGATAACACTGTTTTTTTACATCAAATACGGATCCAACTACATGCTTCGGAAACGAGGCTTCAAGGCTTGCATTGCTTCAAGCATCTTAAATTTGATTGTTTGCTCCTTCGTTTTTTGTTATGAGGCTAACTATGACTTTCCACATATCCCGCTGATATGGATTTATAATTTCTTTATCCCTATGTTTGTTATTGTTACCTGGGTTCTCAGAGGTCTAGACTTACTTCAAAAGTTCCATTGTAACCGAAACAAGCTCTTGTCGTTGCGAAACTCAAAGATCGACCTTGAGACGTCGGGTTACTCTGCATTACAAGAAAATGAGGTTGTTCATGACAAGATACAAGTATTTGATAAATCCCTATCAACTGGAAACATAGAAATCAATGTTCCAGCCACCGTGCAAGATTCTGACAAAAAAGCGCGATCTTCTTCAGTTCAGTCGCTTCCTGACCAGTGCAAAAGTTCCACTGCCATTTTTAGAGATAACTCGTTGAATCCCTCATCACCTTACAACTTTATTTCGTCTTTAAATACCCCTTTAAATAGAAAAGCATCCTTGTCCCAGAATTGCAAAAAGTGTACCTTTCGTTGTGCACCATACGATGGTCACGATAAACTATATAACCATGTGTCTTGCGAGTGTAGAATTCTCGATACTCAAATACACGGTCGTCTCAAAGACGAAAACACTAGCCACGATACTGATACGGAAGATATTCCCGGTTTTGTTGGTGATAAAAATGTCTATTACGCTAAATCTTCAAATTACGATGGATGTTGCTCAAAGAAACATCCACCTTCTACTTTTGATTACAAATATGATGAAGAATCTGCTAATACAGCAAACCTTGATCCTTTTTCCGCCGATGCAAGCGAGTTGCCGTCTACTCAATGTCAGTGCAGGCTTTGTTTTTGGAGCAGGAAGATTTGCAGCCTCCCCGTTATTCGATCGATTGTATTCCTTTTCTTTGTGATCACTAAATCCATTTCCTCTCTGTTCACTTATAAATTCTTTTACATGTCTAAATGTGGACCCCGGGTTTTTTTATTACTTCTTCTTGTGATTCACTTTGCTGTTTCTCTATTTCTTCATTTCAGATTTAGCTCTCCTTATAACAATTCGGTACGGTTAAGCGAGCTGTACGGGCCTGCCATTGTTGCAACGATGGCATATACATTTATTGTCACCCCGGTTCTGCTATACCAAGTAACTTCGATCACTGATGCATTCGGGATAAAATATGATCTTCTGATAACTTTCTTTGTCGCTTGTCCCGGGTTCTGCATTCTGCTTCTTTGGACGGATCTTGATTTACTGCAGCCGCTACGATCTTATATCCCATCTTCGTTTATACTTTTAATTGGAGGATCGTTCATTCATTGCGTAATAATCGTTTTGCCGCTCCTTTCAGCCATGTTTGGAGAGGCCCATCATTGTTATGGGAGCCTCGCGAATTTGAGTCCCAATTTTTCAGTATCTTCGCCACACCTCCCATTACTCCCTGTTGCGAAATCAGACAAGAAATCATGCGCAAATGGGATCAGTTTCTCCAAGCAGCCAAATACCATTCTTTCCTTGAATTCGCTCGGCCACTTGTCATCTGTTAAAAAGTCACTCGCCAAGCTCAACTTCAAGTGCTCTTGCTTCCATCAATATTCGCTTGAAGGATTGACTCTAGATAATATCTTCTCTGATGGTCTTTTGCTTGCCAAATTCAGAAAGTTTACGATCACCGAGTTTGCGGTAGAAAACCTTTTGTTTTATGAAATATGTAAAGAGTATAAGCAGCTATGGCCGGCAAGTGCGACGATGACGAATTTGCCTCAAAACCAACCTGTCGTTTTGAACCAGAATCACGTGTTTAGCTGTTCTCTTGAAAAGACCAGTGAGCTGTTCCACGAGCCCGCATTGCAAATTTATTCAAAGTTTATAAGATCAGGGTCTACATATGAGATCAATATAAATGGGCGCACGAAAAGGAAAATAGAAGAGCGTATCGTTGACTGTCTGATATATGAAGACTTATTTGACGAGGCCCTTGAAGAGGTATCGCAGCTTTTAATTTCGTGGTCCCTTCCTAGGTTTTTGGAAACCTTAAATGAAAGCATTAACCAAAGCTTTTCGAAAATACCATTTTAGCGGCTGCGGCCCACTATGCGATTATTTAATAAATTTTTATGTGAAATGAATCGGAAAAAGAAGCACATGCATGGACGTATGGATTGATTTACACATGCACCGATTGACTTATCTACCTATGCATGCACTTGTCTATCCATGCATGCACTTGTCTATCCATGCATGCACTTGTCTA